TTGAAGTTATGAATGAAAAAAACAATATAAAAAATTTGGATATAATGAATGATGATAATGACAGTGTAATTATATTGATTGAAGTTATGAATGAAAACAATATAAAATCCTTGGATATAATGAATGATGATAATGACAGTGTAATTATATTGATTGAAGTTATGAATGAAAACAAATATAAAATCCTTGGATATAATGAATGATGATAATGACAGTGTAATTATATTGATTGAAGTTATGAATGAAAACAATATAAAATCCTTGGATATAATGAATGATGATAATGACAGTGTAATTATATTGATTGAAGTTATGAATGAAAACAATATAAAATCCTTGGATATAATGAATGATGATAATATTGATTGAAGTTATGAATGAAAACAATTAAATTGATTGGATATAATGAATGATGATAATGACAATAATTAAATTGAAGTTATGAATGAAATAATATAAAATGATGATAATGACAGTGATAATTAATTATATTGATTGAAGTTATGAATGAAAACAATATAAAATCCTTGGATATAATGAATGATGATAATGACAGTGTAATTATATTGATTGAAGTTATGAATGAAAACAATATAAAATCCTTGGATATAATGAATGATGATAATGACAGTGTAATTATATTGATTGAAGTTATGAATGAAAACAATATAAAATCCTTAGGATATAATGAATGATGATAATGACAGTGTAATTATATTGATTGAAGTTATGAATGAAAACAATATAAAATCTTTGGATATAATGATATAATGACAGTGTAATTATATTGATTGAAGTTATGAATGAATGAGGATATAATGAATGATAATGACATGAAATAATGAATTATATTGATTGAAGTTATGAATGAAAACAATATAAAATCCTTGGATATAATGAATGATGATAATGACAGTGTAATTATATTGATTGAAGTTATGAATGAAAACAATATAAAATCCTTGGATATAATGAATGATGATAATGACAGTGTAATTATATTGATTGAAGTTATGAATGAAAACAATATAAAATCCTTGGATATAATGAATGATGATAATGACAGTGTAATTATATTGATTGAAGTTATGAATGAAAACAATATAAAATCCTTGGATATAATGAATGATGATAATGACAGTGTAATTATATTGATTGAAGTTATGAATGAAAACAATATAAAATCCTTGGATATAATGAATGATGATAATGACAGTGTAATTATATTGATTGAAGTTATGAATGAAAACAATATAAAATCCTTGGATAAATGAATGAAATGAAAACAATATAAAAATCCTTGGGATAATGAAGTGTAATTATATTGATTGAATGATATAATGAAAATAATGAATGTAAAATATTGATGAAATATGAAAAACAATGGATATAATGAATGAATGATGATAATGACAGTGTAATTATATTGATTGAAGTTATGAATGAAAACAATATAAAATCCTTGGATATAATGAATGATGATAATGACAGTGTAATTATATTGATTGAAGTTATGAATGAAAACAATATAAAATGAATGGATATAATGAATGATGATAATGACAGTGTAATTATATTGATTGAAGTTATGAATGAAAACAATAAAAATCCTTGGATATAATGAATGATGATAATGACAGTGTAATTATATTGATTGAAGTTATGAATGAAAACAATATAAAAATCCTTGGATATAATGAATGATGATAATGACAGTGTAATTATATTGATTGAAGTTATGAATGAAAACAATATAAAATCCTTGGATATAATGAATGATGATAATGACAGTGTAATTATATTGATTGAAGTTATGAATGAAAACAATATAAAATAATGGATATAATGAATGATGATAATGACAGTGTAATTATATTGATTGAAGTTATGAATGAAAACAATATAAAATCCTTGGATATAATGAATGATGATAATGACAGTGTAATTATATTGATTGAAGTTATGAATGAAAAACAATATAAAATCCTTGGATATAATGAATGATGATAATGACAGTGTAATTATATTGATTGAAGTTATGAATGAAAACAATATAAAATCCTTGGATATAATGAATGATGTTAATGACAGTGTAATTATATTGATTGAAGTTATGAATGAAAACAATATAAAATCCTTGGATATAATGAATGATGATAATGACAGTGTAATTATATTGATTGAAGTTATGAATGAAAACAATATAAAATCCTTGGATATAATGAATAATGATAATGACAGTGTAATTATATTGATTGAAGTTATGAATGTAAAAACAATATAAAATCCTTGGATATAATGAATGATGATAATGACAGTGTAATTATATTGATTGAAGTTATGAATGAAAAAAACAATATAAAATCTTTGGATATAATGAATGATGATAATGACAGTGTAATTATATTGATTGAAGTTATGAATGAAAACAATATAAAATCCTTGGATATAATGAATGATGATAATGACAGTGTAATTATATTGATTGAAGTTATGAATGAAAACAATATAAAATCCTTGGATATAATGAATGATGATAATGACAGTGTAATTATATTGATTGAAGTTATGAATGAAAACAATATAAAATCCTTGGATATAATGAATGATGATAATGACAGTGTAATTATATTGATTGAAGTTATGAATGAAAAAACAATATAAAACTTGGATATAATGAAAAATGACAGTGTAAGTTATATTGATTGAAATGAATGAAAACAATATAAAATCCTTGGATATAATGAATGATGATAATGACAGTGTAATTATATTGATTGAAGTTATGAATGAAAACAATATAAAATCTTTGGATATAATGAATGATGATAATGACAGTGTAATTATATTGTTTGAAGTTATGAATGAAAACACAATAAAATCCTTGGATATAATGAATGATGATAATGACAGTGTAATTATATTGATTGAAGTTATGAATGAAAACAATATAAAATCTTGGATATAATGAATGATGATAATGACAGTGTAATTATATTGTTATGAATGAAAACAATATAAAATCCTTGGATATAATGAATGATGAATAATTGTATTGAAGTTATGAATGAAAACAATATAAAATGATATAAATGATGATAATATGTAAAATATTGATTGAAGTTATGAATGAAAACAATATAAAATCCTTGGATATAATGAATGATGATAATGACAGTGTAATTATATTGATTGAAGTTATGAATGAAAACAATATAAAATCCTTGGATATAATGAATGATGATAATGAAGTGTAATTATATTGATTGAAGTTATGAATGAAAACAATATAAATGGATATAATGAATGATGATAATGACAGTGTAATTATATTGTTTGAAGTTATGAATGAAAACAATATAAAATCTTTGGATATAATGAATAATGATAATGACAGAATGTAAATTATATTGATTGAAGTTATGAATGAAAACAATATAAAATCCTTGGATATAATGAATGATGATAATGACAGTGTAATTATATGAAATTATGAATGAAAACAATATAAAATTGGATATAATGAATGATGATAATGAATGTAAAAACAATGAAAACAATAAAATCTTTGGATATAATGAATGATGATAATGACAGTGTAATTATATTGATTGAAGTTATGAATGAAAACAATATAAAATCCTTGGATATAATGAATGATGATAATGACAGTGTAATTATATTGATTGAAGTTATGAAATGAAAACAATATAAAATGATGAATGGATATAATGAATAATGAATGAAAACAATATAAAATCCTAGGAAATAATGAATATTGACAATTGAAGTTATGAATGGAAAGAAAACAATAAAATCCTTGGATATAATGAATGATGATAATGACAGTGTAATTATATTGATTGAAGTTAATGAATGAAAACAATATAAAATCCTTGGATATAATGAATGATGATAATGACAGTGTAATTATATTGATTGAAATTATGAATGAAAACAATATAAAATCCTTGGATATAATAATGAATGCAATGATAATGACAGTGTAATTATATTGATAATGAAGGAATGAATGAAAACAATATAAAATCAATGGATGGATAATGAATGAATAATGATTGAAATAATGAATGAAAAGCAATATAAATTGAATATAAACAATGGAAGTGTAAAAGCAATTGATTGAAATAATGAATGGAAACAATATAAAATAATTGGATATAATGAATAATGATAATGACAGTGTAATTATATTGATTGAAGTTATGAATGAAAACAATATAAATAATGGATATGAAACAATGATAATGAAATAATAATGACAATGAAAAATATAAAATTTGAAAACAATGAATGAAAAAATGAATATAAAAACCAATGGATGAAATAATGAATGATGCAATAATGAATGAAATAATGAAGTGTAAAGCATTGATTGAAATAATGAATGAAAACAATATGAAAAATCCTTGGATATAATGAATAATGAAATAATGACAGTGAAAGCAATTGATTGAAATGAATGAATGGAAAACAATATAAAATAATGAAATGAAGTGCAATGGATTGAAATAATGAATGGAAAACAATATAAAATAATATAATGATGAAATGAATGAATTGAAAAACAATGAATGAAAAAATAATGAAAGGAATAACCAATGATGATAAATAATGACTGGAAAACAATGGATGAAATAATGAAAGGAAAACAAATAAAAATAATGGATATAATGAATGGATGATAATGAATGTAATTATAAAACAATGAATGAAAACAATATAAAAGATGGATATAATGGATGAAATAATGAAGTGAAAACAATGGATTGAAATAATGAAAATGAAAACAATGGATGAAATAATGGATAAAACAATGGATGAAATAATGAATTGTAAAAATAATGATTGAAATAATGAATTGAAAACAATATGAAAAAAATAACAATGAATGAAAAATGAAAGTGTAATTGAAAATATTGATGAAAATAATGAATGAAAACAATGGATGAAATAATGAAAAGGAAAGACAATGAAATTTAAATAATGAATGAATGAAAACAATGGAAAATAATGAAAAAGAAAACAATGGATGAAATAATGAAAGGAAAGCAATGGATGAAATAATGAATGGAAAACAATGGATGAAAAAATGAAATAATGAATGGAAAAATGGATGAAATAATGAACAAGAAAACAATGGATGAAAAAATAAATGGAAAAAACAATGGATGAAATAAATGAAAGGAAAGAAAAATGGATGAAATAATGAATGAAAAACAATGGATGAAATAATGAAAAAGGAAAAACAATGGATGAAATAATGAATGGTAAACAATGGATGAAATAATGAATGGAAAACAATGGATGAAATAATGAAAGAAACAATGGATGAAATAATGAAAAACAAGAAAACAATGGATCAAATAATAATAGGAAAGCAATGGATGAAATAATGAATGAAATAAAAACAAACAATGGATGAAATAATGAAAGGAAAGCAATGGAAAATAATGAATGAAATAAAACAAATGGAGGAAAAATATAATGAAAGCAAAAATAAAAGCAAAGCAATGGATGAAATAATGAATGGAAAACAATGGATGAAATAATGAAAGGAAAGATGAAATGGACAAAATAATGAATGGAAAACAATGGATGAAATAATGAAAGTAAAACAATGGCTGAAATAATGAATGGAAAACAATGGATGAAATAATGAAAGGAAAACAATGGATGAAATAATGAAAGGAAAGCAATTTAAAAATAATGAATGGAATGGATGAAAAACAAGAAAACAATGAAATAATGAAAGGAAACAATGGCTGAAAAATAATGAATGGAAAACAATGGAGGAAAAAATAATGAATAATGAAAAACAATGGATGAAATAATAAATGAAAAGGAAAATTTTGAAAACAATGATGAAATAATGAATGGAAAGCAATGGGAAATGAAATAATGAAAAATGGCCAATGGATGAAATGAAATGAATGGAAAACAATGGATGAAATAATGAATGGAAAGCAATGAATGAAATAATGAAAGGAAAACAATAGATGAAATAATGAAAAAAATGGATGAAAAATGAATGGATGAAATAATGAATGAAATAATGAAAGGAAAGCAATATAATGAAATAATGAATGGAAAACAATGGATGAAGTAATGAAAATTGAAAAAAACAATGGATGAAATAATGAACAATCGAAACCAATGGCTGAAATAATAACTGGAAAATAACAATGGATGAAATAATGAAAGAAACAATGAATGAAATAATGAAAGGAAAGCAATTAAATAATGAATGGAAAACAATGGATGAAATAATGAAAGGAAAGCAATGGATGAAATAATGAAAAGAAAGCAATGGATGAAATAATGAATGAAAACAATGGAAAAAACAATGGAAAACAATAATGAAAAATGAAAGGAAAACAATGGATGAAGTAATGAATGGAAAACAATGGATGAAATAATGAATGGAAAACAATGGATGAAATAATGAATTGAAAACAATGGATGAAATAATGAAAGGAAAGCAATGGCTGGAAAACAATGGATGAAATAATGAAAGGAAAGCAATGGATTAAATAATGAATGGAAAGCAATGGATGAAATAATGAAAGGAAAACAATGGATGAAATAATGAAAGGAAAGCAATGGATGTAATAATGAATGGAAAACAATGGATGAAATAATGAAAGGAAAACAATGGATGAAATAATGAATAGAAAACAATGGATGAAAAAATGAATGGAAAACAATGGATGAAATAATGAAAGGAAAGGAAATAAATAATGAATGGAAATAATGAATGAAAAACAATGGATGAAATAATGAAAGGAAAGGAAAACAATGGATGAAATAATGAAAGTAAACAATGGATGAAAAATAATGAAAAAGGATGAAAAACAATGGATGAAATAATGAAAGGAAAGCAATGGCTGAAATAATGAATGAAAAAAATAAAATAATTGATGAAATAATGAAAGGAAAGCAATGGCTGAAATAATGAATTAAAAACAATCGATGAAATAATGAAAGGAAAGTTTCAAATGGATGAAATAAATGAAAGGAAAGCAATGGCAATCGATGAAATAATGAATGGATGAAAACAATAAACAATGATTCGATCAAATAATGAAAGGAAAGCAATGGATGAAATAATGAATGGAAAACAATGGATAAAATAATGAAAGGAAAGCAATGGCTGAAATAATGAATGGAAAACAATGGATGAAATAATGAAAGGAAAACAATGGATGAAATACTGAATAAAGGGGAAAGCCAAAATGCTGCCAATAACAAAAGAGAAAATGAAAAGTACCTACAAGTCAAATATAACATCAAAATTTTTATTATTTTTATTTGTTATGTAATTAAATTCATAATTGTCCACAATGTTTCCGCAAACTTCATATTTCCTGTTATAAATTCTTAATAAATATTATTGTTATTATTTTACTTAATTGTGAGGTCTTCCTACATTTACAACTTCTTACGGCTAACCCTGAAAAGAAATGTTGACCAAAATTGCCTGAAATCTTTAAGCGCGTATTTCCGCAAAATTATCAAATTTTGAATATGCCCCCCCTCCTCTTCTGAATGCGTCAGATATTATAGTTCTTTACTTATTTTATTTTATGTTCAACGCATTATTTTATTTAATTATTTACTTTTCTTTTGGTTGTAAATTTCAATATTTGAAATAACGCTTATTTGATTTAAGTTATGAGATTTTAATTTTTGATCATAATATGTCTTAGGTAGCGTAGTAGGAATGTGTTTTCGTGTCTGCATCTAAAAATAATCTATGAAGTTTCGTTTAGAAGCTCCAAAGGAGTTTAACTGAGTATATTTATTTTCTTCTCTAGAAAAAGCTCACATTGTTTTGAGATGTGGGTAAACGTTGGTGCTACTTTTCTTACTGTCAATGTTATTTTATTGTGTTTGTGATTTACCTTTTTGGCTTTCCATATATGGTTTGAGAGAATAGTTTTGTTTGCTTATTCCGTATTTTTGGGTGATATTTTGTATGACTAGCCTCTTTGTTTCCAAGGACTTCCTAATATTCTTATATATTTTTCTGGGTTTCACTTGAATCTTACTGTTGCTTGGTACATTAAATTATTTTGTAGCCAATTACCATTTAGTTGGCATTCGTATTTTGCACAACCATCGACTGCCCCTGAACAGTTTTGTTTGCTCAATTTAACTCACAAAACTCTGGTTCGACCATAAATAACTTTATTAAACTTCCCACACCAGTACTATCAGAACGTCTCCACATTGATACTGTGAAAATGTCAAATGTCAACTAAGAAATGGATCAGGTTTCATGGTCAGAACGCTACCCGGATACGCGCTCATATACATTCAAAGTAAAACTGGCAGCTGCTCCCGAAAATGACGACCAATCAGTTGTTAATTAAGACAAGGGATGGCTTATAAATTTTAACGCCTCTAAAAAAGAGTTAAATAGTTGGGTGGACTTGGTTCTTTTTCCCTTAGGCGGCAACTGGCCTAAAAGAAGGAAAATTCTGAATTCTAAAATGTGAAAAAGAAAACAGAAAACCACCCAACTATCTTTCCGAACATGGCATGGCAATTTGTAGATAATAAACAAAAGGAAAAGTGGAGAGTCATGATCCCTACTTCTTGAAGGAACGTAGTGTTAGCGAATAAAAAACCGAACCAACGTGCTTATCTTGCTTGTTATGCTCACAACGTTTCAGCTGTTGTATTTTCCAGGCTTCATCAGATTCCGGTCTGTCTTCGTAACCTCTGCTTTTCGAACTGAATCCTTTTCCTATTCAGCTTACCCTAGTCAAAAGATAATTCATATCAGTTACTAATCAATGGTATTACATTCACCTATGTGTCACATGTTCGTTTCTTTCCCTAGAACAGATTATACTAGTAGATTATAAGCTGAGTATTGAAATGTCACATACTCGAATAAAAAAAAAAAACGGACACGCGACACAAAAGTGACATATAACTGGTGCGTATTAGCTGATATTATAAATCCTCTAAGCCTAAAAAGTGAAATGAGAACTATCTAGCCACCGTGGATTAAATAAATATCCCAATGTCGCGATTAACGAGTACAAAGACAAATGCCTAAAGAACACTGGAGAGTAGGCCGGCCTGTTTCTTTAGATATTTCTCTTCGTACTCCATACACTTCTTGATGTGCGAATAGCGTAATTGATATCAACTCGGATAGCATGTATTCATCTATTCATCCTCCAGTTATGGGTTAAATAACAGAGTAGAATGGGGCTCTCTAATTTGGGTTGGCGGTCAGTCTCAGAGAATGGCTACTCTGAATTCAAAACCAAGTAACAAGAAACCATTCTGCTCTCGTTTCCAAAAAGCCATGGCAGTGCACAGATAAGAAAGAAATCCTTGAAAATCCATGATCGCCCACGTCCTGAAATGACATGTAAATTAAAATAAAACACCCTTCATGGAATTTTAAACCAAATCCTTTATTCAATCAACAAGAGTATATTGTTCTCATTCCACTTTCAATGCTGAGTGGGTATTTCAGCCGTATATTTCGTTAAGTACAGTGCTGTTCGATAAAAGTGACTCACCTGATTTTTTTTACTTAAATTTTTTTTCACCTATTGTGTCTGGGGTCAAACTAATTTTTAACCTTACTAATAAGACCCTTTTCTGACCACATAGTAAAAAACTTTACTCACCCTAAGGTATTCTATTGATAATTATAATTTTGGATGTGAATGAGATTTAGAGAAAATGACTCACTTATTTCCTGCAACTAGTAATCAATAGAAACATAACCGAACAGCTTTAAATAAAGAATAATAGACGTATAATTTATTTATAATAAGTAATATAGTTCGAAATATTTAATAATCTACGGATCCTCCTTTATTTTGAATAACCTTTTCAACCCTTTTTGGCATTGACTTGATTAGGTTCTGGCAAATCTCATCTGCAAGCATTGAATTCCATTCACAATCAAATACTCTTTGTTGCTTTCTCGAGAGCCTGTACTTTATAATGTTCCATAAGTTTTCTATGGGGCTGAGGTCAGGAGATTGAAGCGGCCATGCTTCTCATCAAAGTATTCCTTCATCAATTTTGATTTGTGACAGGGAGCATTATCCTGCATAAAAATGAGCTTGGTGGGGTCGATTTGCACCCTTTCAGTAGAAGGGAGCAGACAAGACTCTAAAATTCTCTTCTACTGCTCGCTCCTGAGGGTCTTTTTAATAGGTTTTAAGAAACCAGTTCCATGAAAAGAAAAGCATCCCCAGAACATTATACTGAACGGATGCTTGACAATACTTACTGCTAAATTCAAAGAGGTTTCAAAGCTTCTTCGGATTTTAGATCCTTTGAATTTAGCTCAACTTTCGTTTCATCGGAGAACAGAACATCCTTCCAGTCTCCTACGGTGAAATTTTTGTAATGGTGAGCCCATTCAAGTCTCTTGGCTTTGTTGGCTTTGCTTACTAGTGGTTTAAACCTTCGTGTACAAGATTTGTAGTCTTGTTCTAACAGCCACCAACGGACTGTTGAAGATTTTTTTTTAACACCTTGCTCTTCGCTTAGACTGGCTGCAATTTCTTGGCTAGTTATAGTCCTATTCTTCGCAACTTCTCTCTTGATTACCCTGCCAGTTCTATCATCAATCTTTTTCTTTCGTCCCCTTGTTTCAGTCCTTGGAGTAGGAGTGGCATCATTATGTTCCCTAAGCACTGGAGAGAGATTGCGAGGTTATAGCAATTTCTGCAATTTCTCTCGTAGACTTTCCTGCTTTTGAGAGGGCAATAATAGATGCCTTAAGTGGTTCTGAGTGGCTATTTCAAGCTGTTTTTATACTGTATGAGGCTTTCTGGAATGTTCTGGAATACTCCAGATTTAATTTAAGCTGTTCTTGATTTCTCTAGAATATTGTTCTGAGTTTATTGTAAAATAGTTTTCAATATTTTGTCAAAAGCTCTTTAAATTTACCAGTTTAATCATTAGAATGCGATATCTGAGTCACTTTTTTTTGTACAGAGTTTTTTTATTTTTTTTTACTGAATCTCATTTATATCCAAATTTATAATTATCAATAGTATACCTTAAGGTGAATAAACTTTTTCCTAGGTGGTCGGGAAGGGGTTTTTTATATTAGTAAGATTAAAAATTATTTTAAAAAAACAATAGACAAAAAATATTTTTAGTAAAAAAATCAGGTGAGTCACTTTTATCGAACAGCACTGTATGCATGAATCTTCAAAAATGGGGGCAAACTAGAAGATGCTCTATAGTTTGCAATTAGCCATATTGGGAGCTGGGACTCATCATCGGTGGCATATCCCCATTTCTGAAGGTTGGCTCTATAGCGACCAGCAGCTGTTCAGAGGCGATTCAGGCAGGACTAGAAGGCCCAGACATCACTGGAGCCAAGTGTGTGGGATTCTGTAAGGCTGAGAGAAAGCCTGTGTTCTACGTTGTTAAGGTGGCTTTACCACAGGGACAGACGCTGACTAGGAGCCCTGTTGTCCAGCGGTTTGACTGAATGTAGAAAGGTATATCATGACTTAAATAATTTTGCCACTGGTTTAAAAAAAGTGAATAACAAGGGTTAATTAGAATTCAATTCTTTTTTTGGGAGTGGCCTGACCTCTGATGTGAGTTGGAGCATTGTTCCTAAGCAAGTAGAAGTCATCTACTTTGGTTAACTAAACAGGACACCTGTTAATTGAATTGCGAGAAACTTAAAATAAGGATCGATTTCTTTGCATATGATGATCTGCTCCACACCGGTGAAGCATATTCTGCTGTGGAGTAACAAGGGGTTAGGCTCGTGGTGCGGATTGTACCGTCATGGGCATCCCATTTGGTGTTAGCCAGCTTCTTTAGGATGTTGTTTTGGTCCGATACAAATATCAAAGTTGCAATTTGGTTTTTATATTCAAGGGACCCATCCAGAGTGATTTTAATAAAAACAGGCATTGACAGGTCTTGTTAGGATAGATTATAAGGTGGTTGACATAGAATTTAATGTCTTTAAAGGCCGCCCATGAGCACTTGAGAATGAGATCTCAAATTTTCTCGAAAGATTACTTCTGGGTTGCAATGCAGAGACATCATACATTAGAAATGAAGGTCCTAAAATTTGGGTGGATGGGTTGATCCTTTGTGTAGATACTGATGGCGGGTACCATTCTTCTGTGTCCGCCATCGGCTGCTTTTCTCACTGAGGACCATAAAGAATCATTTGATTGACAAAATATTCTTGACGAGAAGAGTGATCTTCAATTACCCAGTTATATCAAACAGCTTCCCTATGAGGATCCTGAGGTTGACAGTGTCATTTTCTGCAGAGAGGTCAACGAATGCAGCATATCTCACCCTTCTCAAACCCATCAATAAATTGCGTTACGTTCAGGAGTTGACTAGTGCAAGATTTTCCCGGTCTGAAAGCTGCCTGTTCTGGAATTAACATAGCATCTATGGACGGAGCCAGATGGTTTAAGATAAGGCGTTTGTGGCAGAGGATGGAGATTGGGGCTAGCGGGATCTTCACCGGGCTTCAGTTGCGCTATTACTTTTGCTTTTCTCCATATCTTTGCAATTTTATTGCTGATCATGCATTCATTGAATATCTCAAAGTGCCACGTGAGGGCAACTGGGTCCAAGTGCTTAATCTGCTCAACGAAGATGTCGTCGAGGTCTGCAGACTTGTTTCCATGTCTTTGATTGATGCATCAAATTCATTTCTTGTGAATGGCCTTGTGCAGCCGGAGGGTTCTTGGCTGAGCACATCTGCTATCTTGGGCACATTTGGTCTCAGAGCATGGTGATTTCGCTTACCTCGGCTGTTGAGTAAAAACTGATAGGCGAACTGATTGGATGTAATTTCAGACTTTGGTCGGGACTTTGTGTAGTTATTTCCCAATATTCGTATCGCTTTTCAGGCTTTCCTGCTGCTATGTATCACGTCTATATTTTTAAGCAATCCTTCTTTCACATGCCTTCCATGAGCTGGTCAGAGTATACGTGGATTTCAAGGTGTCAGTACCAAAGTGATTGTCTCCAAATATCTGGATATAATCTTCGTAAAGATCCTTTGCATCGTTGGAGAGGCCCTGGATGTGGTTCGTGCGACATTCTAGGGGAATATTCTTCCTAAAGGAAGCCTTGAGTAATTTGACGAAAGCATAGTAGTTGTTGATAAAAAGGTTTAATGGATATAGTCAGGTCATCTTAAAGTCTTAAAGTTTGCCTACTTTAAGATTGTAGCGACCTGAAGTGGGTGGTTCGACGTGAAATGACTTTCATTCATCTTAGGTCGATGTCTATATTATGAGGAAAATGAAAAAATGCTTGCAAAATTTATATCATTAATTCGCGATGGTGGTTGAAGAAAAAAATCAAGTCAGGGTTGTATAACCTTCTTCACCTTGAGCTTCTGAAGGATGGATGTAGCTTTGCGTAATGAATGAGTGACAGTTGATTTGTGCCAGTCCAGTTCTCTAGGAGATCGCCATCTTCGTTAGTTTCAGCATAACTCTAGAATATATCATGGCTATTAAAATCACCTATGACAACGTTGATAGGGTCATTGGTTACGTTAGGCTGAATGTTGAATAGTGTCGTTATCTTTTTGGGGGTTTTAAACGTAATGATGTCGTGAACAAGGCCTTATGTTATTTGTGCCTGTCACGAATGATTTGTTAGCTAATATACTATAGCCGATGGAAATATTGGGTAGCATTCCTAACGAGCTTATGTAAATGAATGGCAGGGCAGGATTGATGTGGATGCAGAAAGACAAATAATGTTAGAAATTTATAAAGGATAGGAGTTGTTGAATTTTAATCGCTTAAGGCCTGAAGGGACACAGCTAATAGAAGAAGTGTGTCTCTTGAAAGTATAGGATGTCATATCTGTGTTCGATACACAGCTCCGTCAAGAGATCTTGCTTGGCGCCAGTGAGATTTTCAATGTAAGCCTCATCGACACTGGGGTCTCGGGAAGTCATCATGCTAGAAGTCTGACAAATAAGATCATTAGCATGTAGTATAGCGTGGAGGGGAGGAATTGGATAAAGAAAGAACTCTTCTGACGGGGAAAGTGATGTAAACGCTTCTTTTCTGAACCCTTTTAATATATATATATATATATATATAAATATATATATATATATATATAATGAATAACAAATCATTTTAAAAAATATATATATATATATATATATATATATGAAAAATATAGTAAAAGGTGTGCTAAATTTTGGGATTTTTGATCAATATCCGAGATAGACAGTGTGTAAATATAAAAGTGAACATAGAAGTCAACACTTTAGACACGATAGTTTACATATATATATATATATATCATATATATATATATATTCATAATAAATTCATCATCAATATATATTGAATAATATAGACCATTGTTGTCTATTTATTTTATGTAAATTCTTTTCATAACGTCTGATAAGCTTAATAACGTTATCATTAAACGAAGACAGAAAATCACAATATTGATCCATATTTTTTAATCCAATCTAAGCTTTCGACTTACATAAACCATTATCATTATGTGAAACATGTATGAATGAAAAAATGCTGCCTAAATACACATAATTTATATATATATATATATATATATGTTTGTGTGTGTGTGTTGATGATGATCAGTTTATTATGAAAATATAGCCTTCAGAGACATTTTTCTAATGAAAAATTAATAGAAATAAAAGAGACAAACAAGTAGAAAGAAATACTAATAAATACATGGATCTTGATTTTGGCAGCAGGAGGGAAAGAAAGAAAGAAAGAAAGAAAGAAAGAAAGAAAGAAAGAAAGAAAGAAAGAAAGAAAATAAAGAAAGCATGGGAAGCAGAATAAGAAATTTAAATTATATTACTGAATACGTAGACAAACAAGAAGAAGGCCGATATGTACAACGGCCGAAACGTTGATGAGCATGCCGATCCGAATAGCCAAGCATAGAATAATGATAATTCCTCATCTAAAAAATAACGTCACAAGGAAAATTACTTTTATGAAATAAAGAGGGCTGTATTTACAGTGTTGGTACCCCTTTTTGGCCTTGTGTCAGGCAAAGCCATGCTCAGCAGATATCTACGGGACGCCTTTTCTCTTGTCAGCTGGGTTGAGTCATGCAGCAGACAACAAGCAACTATATTAAAATAATGCAGGGATTGTATAAAACCGACATTTTGTATTATAAGTGGTGACGTGCATGGCTGGGCAGAACCTTAGTTTTAAGTAGGTATTAAACGTTTGAAGTGGCAACACAATGAGCATATTCGACGGACAAGAAGTAGATTTAATTATAAACCAACAAGAAGAACACATACGTGGCATGTGTTGCATATTAGCAAAGTCGGAAATAGTAACGGTTTTAAAGAAACAGAACTGTAAAAGCGTTATGCGGTAACTTCTTCTTCTTCTTCTTCTTTTTCTATTAGCTGCGTCCCTTCAGGGCGTAAGCGACCATAGCTCTCCATAACTTCCTATTCGTTATAGCTCTTAGCACTGTTCCATCCTGGGTCTAACAATAAACTATATCCGGCAACAAGGCTTCTGATCGGGAGGTTTTCAGGAGTGTGGAAACAATTCTTAATTGCTGTTTTCCCAGGTCCATCAGGGTGGTAGCACCTGTAAGGGTCTTAACTATGGACAAATAGTTACCTCCCCCCAAACTGGACTCAAAACACTATGAAAACATAAAAATACACTTTCATAGTAAAAATAACAGTAATATATTTTTGAAGAAAAGATTTTACCAGCAATAAAGTTTTGTAAATGAAATTAATAATGATCCCAATTAAATTACATTTCGACATTAAATGACCCACAAGGTGTTGATATGCCGCTAAACAAAGAAACCCTTCTCTCTCTTAGCACTGTTTGTTTTCTTATCCCTCCTACTTACTGTCTTGCCATTCATTGACACACGCTCGTTAGGAATGCTATTCACTGTTTCCCTCTTGGCTTCAATCTGTCCTGTGAGTGTCAAATTCTCCAAACTTCCTTTCCTCAGTATGTGTCATAACTGTTTCTTTCTGATTTTAAGTGCTATATATGCTTTAATTTTCCTTAAAACGCCAATGTTGCTAACGTAGTCCGCCTGCAGTATTCTCAGCTTCCTTCTGTAGAACCAGATTTCTCTTGGATGCCTTAAGTCCTCTTCCGTGAAGAAATTGTCCAGCATTCGCGGCCATATAGCAGTTCTGTACGCTTTGCATCTAACGAATTTTTCCTGTTTCTTATTACTTTGCTTAGCTTTTAGAAGGCCTCTTTCGGTATTCCAATGCGCCTTCGGATTTCGGTGTCAAATTTTCTCCCATCTGTTTAAACACTCCCGGGATATTTAGATTTTTGTATTTGCTTGGTTTTGGCGTTGCCAATTCGTTGTTTGCATCCTGTACTGTTCCTCTTCCTATTTTTTCATCAACACGAGATTATCTGCACATCCTATGTTGCTAAAATTCTTCCCGCCGTTAATAAATCCTGACAGGACTTCTAGTTTTCTTAGGATCGCGTCACTGTAAAGATTAAATAAATCCGGCGAGAACATGCTTCTTTGTCTTGCGTTCTTTTTTATTGTTGTGCACTGGTTCAATTCATTTACTATCTGATGCTTAGGATGCTTGCTTACAGTTATTATCTTAAGAGACAGATACAGAGAAAGGTGCCGCATTTTAGTTCTGTTACCAGCCTATCTTACAAAGCAATTCGAAACTCGTTACCTTGGCCCTATCGTACACTAAAGTTATCTTAGTAAATAAGTATGCCTAGAGCAGGCCGTTAATTGGCATGCTCCTCTCGTAATGTCGGAAAGTGATATCAATCTTCACTACAGTGGCCTTGTGTCAGGCAGTTAGGGTTATATATATATATATATATATATATATATATATATATATATATATATATATATATATATATTTATTTCATTGAATACGACAGACAAGGTGTTTTTATTTAGGTTTTATACAATTTTTCGATCCAATAATTTTTTTCTTTTCGGATGATAAATTATATAAAAACTGTCTGGATGTTCTTTTTACCCGAGCGCTTTCGGATATACATTTAGCCATTTTCAAGGATTAAATATTTTAACTGCTAAATAAGAAATATTTGTTGTATTTATACTTTATAAAATGTTAAGATATTGTGTCCATGCTCATAATAAATATTATTAAGTGTTGTTTTTTTGTTTTTATTAATAAGGCTTCCATTATTTTTGGCCTTATTTTTGCATGTAAATCATGCTATTATATTAATTGTTGTCAACGAGTATGTTACGAATAATATCCGGTAGGTCTCCATGAATATTTAAATGAGATCTATTTGAGCTATATATATATATATATATATATATATATATATATATATATATATATAAACAGAAATGCGCCTAAGCAAGCGTCAGCAATAGGGATTTGCTAACCGTCCTAGTAGACGGGTACCCTCGAATACAAGTGGCCAGCTATACATACTGTAATAAAAGTTACATGACGGATACAAATTTGTTTTTATTGTAAATCTTATCAGCTTCCACTTACGATGGTTTTTTTTTCTATATTAATTTGTGAACGTTCGTCTATTCACTTAAGGATGCACTTTACGACTACTCTTTTGACATACGCGTATTCTATATACATTACTTTTAGTGCTTTTTGGTAAAGCATTTTAATTGCTAAATTGGTCACCCTATTTTTTTTTTGTTCCGAATCAAATCTTTTAAGTAAGTTTTGTAATATTGCACATCAAGATCAAATTGTTTAAGATTTTTTTTTAAAAAAAAAGAAATTAGGCATAGCACTTTGGCATCTTTATGCCGAGAAACAAAGGATAAACCTCTAATTCTGTTCAAAAGACCGGGGAGGTGGGGGAACCGGGCGATAGGCAAACCTATCTACTCCTATTAATCTATCTAAATGTCTTTCTCCATCTTCTCCCACCAATAAAACCGGGAAATAAGGGAAGCACTTTATAGTTTTTTTTACTAATGATTAATCAAAACAAGGCTCAAGAGCCACTCAAGGTAGAGGGTTAGTGGATTCTGTTACATATCGTACTTATGGATACTAATTGGTATTGCTCAATCCTCATATTATTGTAAGTGTGGGTGGGGTAATATGCTGTCTAAGTAGTTCACCACTAGCAGAGGTTTGCCTACTTCACGCTGCTTAAATTCCTACAGGCTAGGTGTCATAATGTAGAGATCATCCGAATAATTACCATGAAAGTATTTATATAAAAGACATAGACAGGCAACCTTACGGCGGTCGGCAAGAGACTGAAGCCGAGCCTCCAGGTCAGGACCAATAATATTGCTGATTCTTCTTTGGATGTTAGCAAGTGTTATATACCGTACCTATGAACGCTAATGGGTATGTCCCAATCCTCATAAATACGTCGGATACTATTGTAAGTGTGGGTAATATGCTGTCAAAGTAGTCCACCACTTGCAGTGGTTTACCTAGTTCACTCCGCTGGCGAGTATTGTATTTTGTTGATGTTATAAAGATTACCATTTCTTTTCCAACCTCCGTTTTTGTTATTCCTCATTCAGTAACATTTTCTAGGTTACAACAACAAGGAGCTCAAAGTAAATAGCAGAGGCAACGGGTCGTATGTGTCAGCTATATTCTAGGCAAGGACAAATAGTAGACTTATAGATATGTATGATAGATTCTGGAGAGAAAATCGTTTCATACGACACAGTGAAACGACTTTCTCAGTATCTGACCTAGCAATGGATTCAATATGAATCAGAACAAGACTCAAGAGCTTCTACAGGTAGACGGTTAGTGAATTCTACATGCGTCTGAGCGCAAGAAGAAGAGGCCAGAAAGGAAACTATGAAGTTATGGAGGAATGATAGCTGTGGACTTTACAATTGAAGAGGTTAAAATTTTAGTGATCAAGGAAGCATCCTCTCAGGAGTCTCTTCTACAAAGTAGCAGGTTTTGGAAAGAAGCTGTTCGAGTGAACCTTCTTCCTTACTAATGGAATACGAAGGGAATGGGAATGATCCGTCCCAGGTGCAGATGGTGGATCTTCGCTGCACGAAGGTCAGAACTAGTGGAATTAAGGAATGTAGCGCTTCGTAACATTTGCCATGGAAATAGCTTGCGAAGGCTCGATTGTAAGAATTGGGTGGTAGGATGGAAAATAATTCACAAGGCAAAGTAGACGTTTGTGACAGGCAAATGACGACTGGGCAGATCCAGAAAACTCCATTTTTGGCCTGATCTGGCTTCCGTAAAAGTAGGGGATAGCTTCAGATTCAGTTTCTTACTGGAGCCGTTCAGGAAACCGACCATTTTTTCAGCATTAATTTTTCCAGTTCAACTTGACGTCTGAGAAGAGTTTATTGAGCTATACCAGAGGAATCTGCGTTTAAGCAGATAACCTAAATATGTTATTGAACAATTAGCTCTATGTTCTATGCCCGAGCCCGTGTAATAGTCGAAATTTCTAAATTTGATTTGAGAAGCAAAAATAAGGTTCTTTTATAGAAAGGGTCGATAGTGGCAAATATCTTTTTAAGAAAATACAAGTCTCAAGAACCACTCAAGGTAGAGAGTTACTGAATCAGGTGCGTGATACGAACGTAAGTGGAGGTATACGATAGTTAAGATTATGAGGATAAGGAGCGTTGATTACGACTAAAGTTGAAGAGGTTAAGATTTTAGTTCTCTGGAAAGCATTCCCACGGGAGCATCTTCCATTAATTAGAAGTTCTTGGGAAAAACCTGTTTGAATGAAACTTCATCTTTGCATTCGATTCCGTGGACGTAGCTAAGCGAGTCATAGCTGTAAAGGCATGAACTGGTGGCACAAATTAATGGC